GACAACAAAGATAGTGTTACAGGATTGAGTATCTTTTTAAAATGCACCAACCTGCATGGCTGATGGAGATTGTGCAGGGAATACAGGAGGAAAAGTGGGTTTTTTCTTGGTGTCGTTGGCTGATTACAGAAAGACAAAAGGTGTCTCAACAGAAATGTGTAGTTTGTTGTGAAAAATGTGTGAAAGGCACATTGGTTGAGGTGTGGAATTTGTATTGTTGCAAGTTAGATCCATGAAGAGCTGCACGGGATGTTAGTTGATATACTAGGAATGTGTAATTATGATGATAAGACCTAATTATGTTAATTATGTCATTTTGGGGGGCTATTTTATGATGCATAAAGCAAGATAATTGATGATACAGCAAGGATATATTGTAATCATAACTTACAGGTGTGTTTGTCACTAAATTATGCTCAAAAGAGCTGCTTCAAAATGTTGCATAATATCTCATAAAACTCTCATAAAAAAATAATTGAAAGGTAATAGAGCATGGAAACACTATGTCCAAGTCCTCTGCTATTCTAAGTTCAGAGTTCTCATAATAAATGTTTGCATGCAAGCAACAGCTGCTACATAGAGGTAAATTGTGTGCATTTTGAGCAGAGCACAGCCTGAATTCTGAGTTTGTTGTCTTTTGAATTCCTTTACAAATTGTGTTTGTAAGCTAACCCTGCAGTTCATTTCTGTTGATCAGCTTTGGCATGTGCAATTGACTGTAACTGTTTGTATCGTGCAAGCAAACAGCTATTTGTGCAAGTGGTTTGGACAGATCCATAACCAGCTCGCTCTTAGAGCCTAGGAAAAATCAGAAGCATGTAAGAACTTTTTGCTTTGGGAGGGTTTATCACCCTTTTCTTTGTTTATTTGGTTTTGAGTTTGGTGATTTTTTCCTAAAGGTGATCATAAAATACATTAGATTTGGTTCCTTTAGAATAGTTCATGTTCTCCACTTCCATAGTAGCAGAACTGAAAGAGCTTGGAGCACTTTGCTGTTAAACAGCAATCGGACCAGACTTCCCCGAGGCGAACCACATGGGAGAACGAGGGCCTTTCCATAATGTTTGTGCTGTGGTTTGGTGGGATGTGAAGCTGTAGCAAGCACCAGAGGAATTCTGAATTAATATGTGTAAGAGGTAGTATAAATAGCCCAACTACTTGCTCCCAAATCTTTTATCAAGGGCATTTCAGATCTACAGGGAAAGCAGCTGTGGTTCAGTGAAAGCTAAGCCTGCTTGGGGCTTCATGAAAAGTAGCTGGGGATAAGATTACTGGAAGCTACAGCAGACCTCAAAACTGCTCAAAACACTGGGACAGCAGCCTTTCAAATCCCAATTGCAAGAGTTTGCTTATAACCTTCTTTATCTTTACTCTTCTTCCACTGAGCTTTCCATTCACTGTTTTCCATGAGGCAAAGCTCAACGCGTGCTGTAGACTCTAAAATGTTTATCCAGGCTGCTGGTTATATGAGGAGAAAGAAGTCTTTTGACTGTCAGTCTTTTCTTAATGGCCAAATATCTAAAATAATAACGCAAAAGGAATATTTTTCACTCAGAATATCTTTCACTGGTGTAGTTTCAGAAGTAGCTCAGCTATAGCTCTTCAAAGTATTTAATGGGCTTTTAATACATTCTGCTCTTAAATTCAACTGGACTCAAATGTACTAGCACTGCAGTTAGAAAATTTACAGCATCTTGTTGCCTATGAAAATTTTGCCAGGGTGTTGGTGGGAGGAGAAGCAGATCCGTTTCACGGACACATGACTGACACTGACATCTTGATCAAGTGTGGCTTTTATCAGTGAACTCTGTAGGAGTGCATGGTTTTCCAAGATATGGCCTGATATCTCATAAATCAAGTTTTGAAAAATGCAGTAGCTGTTCTTTACTCATTCCTTCTGGTTTACAAAATATTTCAGCCACTTAATTCCCCACTGGGACTTCCGCTGAGCAAAATGCATAAAATACACTGGGTTAGTGACCCACGCCCACAGCCACCTCTACTCAGCTCATATGCAGCACTCTAGCTCTCAAGGTGCTAGCAAAAAATTGCTCTGTACAATTTTTTTGCTTGTTGTTTAATTATTTAGATGAAATGGCTACTTTATATATTTCAATGATGCTACGTGGAATAGAATGATTTACCTGAGCTTTTTTTGATATCCTATTTCAAAGCATCCATTAAGCACTTAAGTTGGGATCCTCCTCATCAAACTTCAGATGCCTTGAAGTTGTGTCCTCTCTCAGGGAAGCCTGTGGGCTCCTCGTGTAGACAGCGTGGGCTGTGCTTCACTCCACATGAAAATAATGGACCTGGAGGCCGGGTTGAGTAAGGGGTGCCTGGACATACCCACTTGTCTCCACTGACAGTAGAGAGAGCCAAGAAAATTTGCTAAGCCTGGCTTTGCAGGCTGGCGACTCCAGCTAGGTGGGAGAAATCATACTTTAACCAGATGGAGGTTTTGATTAACCAGATTTTTGATGTTGATTTGAGTATTCTGAAATTTTGTATGTGGATTTGGTATCAGTGGCAAAGCTGTAGCTGTGATATGAACAACTAGACTGAGGGCCAGGCTCAGAAATTAGAAGTTGGGTGCACACAAGATTTTTCCCCCTTCCCATTTTAAGTTTCTTTTCCAATCCTCTTTCATAGGATTCTTAAAATACAGTCAAGTAACTCTGCTTAAAAGACATCATAGATACCTGTCCCTCCCCACTCCGAGGAGAGAGAACGGAGGAATGCTATTGCCACAGAGGGTTTCCATTAGTGAAATTAATTCCTCTCTCATAAGAATTTAGGTCTATGATTTATGATAACCACCGATTTCTCACTGCAGGCAAAGTGAGAGGAAATGACTCAGCCTGGACAGACATCATGAATCTAATTTTTTTCCCACTAATGCTTGACATAATCTAGTGTGCTGCTCCCAGAGGTGTCACTGGAGATTCATGTCCAGCCGAAGGGCCTCACATTCAAGGCAGAAAATTTTGTTACTTTCATGTGTTGTGTGATCTGTAATTGTTTGGAATCGCATCCTGCCTCATTCATTGCCGTTTCTTTTGCATCAATTTTGCAGCAAAATAGTGAGGAAAGACAAAGCAAGGGAGAGAAAAGCAGGATTGCACTTGCTCCTTCAGAAAAATCTTCTGTGACATAATGTTAGGGTCCAGCTGGTGCTTATTAAACTCAGGCAGTTTTGAGATGAAAAATGCTTCCTTCTGTCACTCCTTCCAGTAGAAATCTCACTACCCACCTGATTGGAGAAGTCTTATCTATCACATATTGATTCTGGAACTTTATGTTTTATTTTCTATCACCGATATAGAATTTTGTGAGTGGGCTTCTGCCAAAAGATCAGAATAGATATCATGTTAAATGGTTCAGCTAAAATGTTTTATCCCACATTTCAAGGCACTAGGAGCGTATATTCATGTCTCAGCAGAGGAGGTAGTATCTAGCTGAGAGGAAGGTAGGTTTTGAAAAGTCTTGCAGTTATAAATAGTCATTCCAGTACATCCTAACATATCTTCCAAAACAGAGAAGAGTAACAGATCTTTTTCTGAAATATAAAAGAATTTCTACGTATTTCTCTGGAATAACCTCATTTCACATACAAGGAAGCAGAAGCAAAACAAATACCAAGATAGGGTTCCCAGCACTTTTTTTTTACTTTTTTTTATATTGACCAAATGTAAATCCTCTTTTCACAGCTTTGGTGTGTGTGTGAATGCCTGCTGAGCACACACACGTGAAAATGGTCTGATTGCCTCAGGATGACCTCTAAAAATGCCCAAGTAAATAGCTGCTATTTTCAGAAATGCTGAGCTTGCTCAGCTTCCTTTAAGTCACCTATGGTTTATTGTGACTGTTTTGATCTCGTTAAAAAACAAGCATAAAGCATGAAAGGAGTAGTTCCACATGTCAGTACTGTTCTGTGCAGTCTGTATGCCCTTTCAGGCAAAAGCTAGGAAAAATGTAATATTGAGTTTTGATTATGTTTAAAAAAGAAAAACAATCTTAGTAAAGTCAACAGAATAAGTCTCTTCATGATTATTTGCCAATAATCTGTAATCATAAGTTTTAACTGATGTTCTGTTCAGCTTGTCTGTTACACTCAATATGAAACTTTCATTACTATCCTCCCTAGACCATTTTAAAGCTGCATTTTTATTTTCCATTTCTGTTCCTGACTGTAATTCTTTTAATGATGCTTACTGACAGCTGATACTTTCTGGCAAGCTCTCACCAAGCTTGTACAGTAAAAGTCAAATTATAGTGCTGTATGCACACACTTACTAAGTTAAGTTTTTTTTCTTTATGTATTCCGTGGTAAATTTCTAAATTGCAGCTGCCAGTCTGCAAATTATTCAATCTCTCGGAAGCACAATTGGAGATATTGCATCATTTTGGGTATATAAAATGTACTTTTGAAAGTGTGTTTAGGCAATGAACTAGCAAAGCACACAAGACTCAAGGCTCTATTGAACAAAGTTCGGCTCTTTTCTGGAGCCTTGATATTGTACCAAAACATAGTCAAGGTGTAAAAATAAACACGCAATGGAGGTGTCTTCACACAACCTGGATCCACAAAAGCAGGGCTATACAGGATAGAAGGGGACATATCATGCTGTTGAACGAGTTCGGTTCTTCATTTTCTACAAGACTGAGTTTTTCTAACAAACTGCCAGTAAGTTCCTCTTTCTAGTATTTGGACATGTCTGTGAAAGCCTCATGTGTTTAAGTAAATAGTACTTAGGTGAGTTGTCCCATTAAGGGACCGGAGGGGATTGCCCTAACTATGGTTTGATCTCAGGATCATGTGACTATTGTCTAGTGGTAAGTCCTACCTCTTGTTAATCTGTATTTTCTGTTATTATAAAATAGTTTGCATTTCTCTGAACAGAATCAGTAGTTTAACATCTTCTCTCTAGTTCCTCAGGTCTGACTACAAGCAACCAAAAATTCTGTAAATCCTATTCATCCTGCTGCTCCGTCCTAAGTGGTACACGCACTATTCCACCAGTTTTGTCACAAAACAGAGGATTCATCAGGCAGAACTGTGATTCTGAGCTACCTTCCCCCGTAAGTGTTTGGCTTACCAGTCTGATTACAAGTTTACGGAAGAGAGACACTGACAAAAAGTAACTAAGGCTGAAATCTGTTCCTCAGCTTTGAAGCTGCTTAAGTTTTGCCTTCTTTTATCTTCCAAAACTAGATCAGGTTATAAGTAAGATTATATGATGTGGTGTCAGCAGTGGCAATGGATTTGACTCAGTGGCCCAGGAAGCCTTTGAGCACTGGGCACAGAACTGGATGCAATGGGCAAGTATATCACAAATCCTGAAAAGGCTGTGTACATTAGCAGGAGAATGTCATAACCAGGACTGCTGTGAAAGATAACAATACGGATATTCCGTGAGAATATGTCTCTCCAATATTTGAGCCAATTTGTAGAAGTAAACCAGAAGGGGCTGTGGTAAACTACACCTAAACTGTGAATCCTCACAGCATTTAGCAGCTTCTGGGTGTGTGTATAGCTCAGCTGTAACTGGAGGGGACTAGTCTGAGGTGCATGCTTCATCTCTCCTCCTCCCTCAACTCCACCATCATGGTTTCCAGTGAAAGAAATTCTGGAGTTTCGAGCAAATAACCACACTGCGTTGCACTGAGAGGTTCCCCCACTGCAGGCAATCATGGTGCCATGTTTGTTGGGCATGACACAAATCACACCTACTCCATACACTACAGGCAGAGTTAGAGACTTTGTTCCTTCCTCCCTCCTGGGAAACTGATGCCCTGGAAGTTACAGAACGTGTTTCAGTGGAAAACCAAAACGACAGAAAACACATATTCCCAACTGCAGTGGCAGGTTTTCTGTATTTAGATTTAGTGCCTCGATTGCATTCAGGATATATTGCATCAAAACTTGTCTCAAAATGTGGTTACATGCACATGCATTCACAAATGCATGCCCTTGTATCCTCACTTCCATACATCATTTTGCTATTCACCAGGTGGTATTAAGGCAGAAGATATTGTAAACATGTATGAATATTATTTCTACTGCAATAAGGCCAGAAATATGAGAAAATGCAATGCCAGAAACTAAAAAACCTTCACTTACTGTTTTATATCTTTATTTCGCTTTTTTTAAAGCTTCCTTCTGATTACTTCAAGTATCTCAGCTGGTGTGACATAGAAGAACATGATGTTCGAGGAAATCAACTTCATTGTCCCCGAGTGAGAGAAGGTAAAGACCAAAAAGAATTCACGTTTAAGCCTTAACTCTATTTACTCAAACAGTATGTCCTTGAATGTTACAAGCTTAAATCATGGAGCTTGCCATTATTTTGAAAAGGGGCAGGATTTCATCCCATATTGTAAATATTTACTTTTTTTTAATCACTGGGAAAATACTCTATGTAATTTTGAAAACAAGAAAAAAAAGACAGAACTGTAATTTGAAAATTTTTAGTATTATCATGGTGTCTATTACCTCTGTCGAAAGTTCATTAACATTTAAATAGTGTTCAGAATGCAATAGCCATATGCCAAACAAGAAGAAGAAGAAGAAGACCAGAGTGAAATCCAGTCCTGCAAACAGTGCCACATATATTGTATTTTAAGGTTGAATTGGCCCAATGAGTCTGTAGACACACTTAAGAACAAAGGTGGATTTTAAAATCCATTGTTTGCATGTTTGGAACTAAACAGTGGAAAAATTCCACGCTGTCCTTGCATTAGTTAGGAATTTCAAGATGTCCATGGGTCTAATTTAAGTTTTCAGCTTTTGTCATCCTTAATACAAATGAGGTTTTGAGTATGGCTGCTGACCTCAGTTGCAGCTGTTGTCAGTGGACTGGAAGTTACAAACATATCCCTTTCTCAGGACAGTGAAAGGATAAGTACGTAACCATTAGGTAAACTCATAGCATGTGAAAAAATATATAGAAACAGTATTTTAGAACTTGGATGCTCATGCTCAACCATTTAGAAAAAGCTTTTATTCTGAGCAGTAGAAGAAATAGCACTTGCTAACCATGTACCAAATCATGACCTTAGATTGCTTGCTGAATTATGGGCCCAGAAATGGTAGAAAAATCTTCATGTTAATTTACTTCTTAGAATCCTAGAAACCTACGCACCTATAACACTATATATATATTTTTCATTTCATGTATCTATCTTCCCAGCCGTATATACAATCTTTCAGCAAGTAACTAACTGTCAGTTCCACATCACATCCACTATTGTAAATCTTTTTTTTTTTTTCTGAGCAGGGCCTTCAAAGGAAGAGCTGTTTTTCAGAGGAGAAGAACATCATACTTTCAAAAAAAGAAAACAAGTAACGGACACAGAGAAGTGGCAAAAGAAACTCCAAGAGAACTGGGAAAACTGTGCTGTAAAACTTTCACATTAACTCTTTGTACTGTAGTAGTAAATAAGACAAATAATAATGTGCCAGCTGCTCCTTGCAGTTAGAAGTTTTAAAGCTCAGGTTGGCACCATGACATTGTAAGCCAGAAAGTTTTTACAAGCTGGAAGAACCACTGGAATATATTGTGATTTGAGTTCTGATCCTGTGCAAAGAGTAAACTCCAGTGTTGTGACAGGGCTCCCTTTGTGCTTGGGCATGTAACAACTAGTGATGTGCTTTGCCTGCAGATATTGATATCTGGCTACTGCACAGAACTTTTTTTTCCAGATTAATTTAGAGGCCAAACCAACAAGCCGTGATCACTTAGTCCTGCTTTGTCCACCCAGAGCACACACACAGGCGTGCCCACTCAGGGAGGAAGGAGGGGCTGGGCAGTAAGATTTACATGCTTAAGAGATGCTTGCTTTCTTTCTTCTTTACTTTCAAGGAGTTGTGCAGTGCATCACTATGTTTCTACAGTGAATTTGACAATTGGCACCACAAACTGGTGTAAGAGCAGCATAATAAACCAGACTCACCTTTTAACTAATTCTGACATTGAAAAAATATAGTGATACAGTTATTAGAAAGCAAGAAAGAAAATGCATGTGATTTCTCTTATTTTTCCCTTTCCAGGAGTTGAACCTTTCGTTTCAGGACCTGGGTGATCTTTACCAGGTGGAAAACTTCAAAAGGATTCTCCGAAGATTAATTCGGGTGGAAAAACTTTGGTTGGTGGACAATTCTTTGACAGATCTAAGTGCCATAAGGTTGCCAAGGTAGACAAAATGTCCTGTTTCTATTTTTATGCAATATCATAGAAATCAAAAGTAATATTTACCTAATAGCTGGAAAAGACTCTTGAGAACTGCCAAAAAGATGATATTTTGGGGGGTATTATATTAGGAATCCATCAGTATATTGCTGTTATGAGTTCATGTCATTCCCAAGTTGAAAATACTCAGGAAGGAGGTCAGATGACATCTCCTTTATTTGTGGTGGGCAACTCATGAGTCTCATCAAGTTCAGTGAAATTTTTTGCTGAAAGGAAAAGTTGAAAACTGAAGGGATGTATATGAAGAGATGTGGAACACAACCCAAGCAGAGAGACGACCAGCTGCGACCATGACAATTATATTTTTACAACCCTTCTATTGTCATATATCTAGGTATATGGAAAGTTGTAATATGGAGAACAGGAATCATGATGTATCCATTGTACAATGTAAAGAAAGCTGAGAGGATAAAGTGTAGGGATCTGATCTTGCAGTCCATGGGTAGGCAAAAAGAACATACATGTAAAACTAGTGTGAAAGCAGGTCTCCAGGAATCAAATTGCTGTCTCTCTCATTGGAAGCCCTAAGTTGCCATGACTTTGACTAAGTGAAGAGCCGTCCCTGTGTTGGCTTACTGGTATCCAATATTACAGATGCGATCGGTGACCTCATATGCTTTATACTTTACAGATGCAGAGAACTAAATGTCAGTAAAAACCACTTTACGTCCTTCAAACAGCTGCCAAAGACACCTCAGATTCAGCACTTATCACTTGCTGAAAATAACATTATGACACTGAGTGGAATATCAGACTTCAGACATACTCCACTCGAATCCCTTATACTCAAGAGGAATCCCTGTGAATTTCAAGAAAAATACAGACAAATGTAAGTCTTACCATCTCATAGCCAAAAAAAGTTGAACAATACCAATAAATGATAGGGAGTTCAAAGGGAATAGGTTCTCAAATACAACAAGCTCTCCCAAGCAATCTTTTTATTTTTCCATAGTGTCAACTATCGTAAATGCTCCAAGAGCACGGGCTGGTGAGCCAGTATCTGAGAATAGTCACAAAATATTCAGAAAGTGCCTAGCAGGCTTTGTGGTCATATGACTAGCAGTTCTTGAACTGAACTAAGACCATGGATCAAGTTTAGAGACAGTGAGTAGGGCAGATAAATTAGATTCCCTTTTATTAATAGAAACTACCTATTACTCAAATTCTCTTCAGTCTCCTGGTATCCCTTGTGTATTCTGAAAGGAGTTTAAATTGCATTACATGTCAGAGATGGAATCAGAAGGGTGTGTTGAAAGACGGGAGCTAAAGCATGAGAAAACTAAGTCACCTTTATTTAATTTTTCTGGATTCTCTCCTCTCTCTGTGGCAGCACTGTGGAAGCTGCACTGCCTGGAACACCCCACTCAGTGTAGATGTATGTTGCAGGCAGCAGAGCGTAGCGTAGGCTTAACAGAGCTGCCTCGAACACTGGAAATGAAAATTCAGATCCGAAGTAGAGTAGAGAATTCCAGGGAAGACAATTTCTTCTAAGTCTCATATTCACACCGCTATTCCATTCTTCCCCAGCTGCTTTCACCCCAAAACCCTCTTGCCAAGAAAAAAATTGCACACAGGTCAGAAAGGGGAACAAAGCGTGTTCCTTCTGAACCCTTCAGAAATCCACATGGTTGTATGTTTTTCCCCACTGAACACATAGAATCATGTCAGCCATTGCAGAAGACGTTGTTGATATTTCTTAGTCATATCACAGCATATGTCTAAGAAATCATCTCTTCCTGGGAGGGCAAAAAAAGAGATGTTTAAAAGAAAGTGTTTAATGAAAACCTTTCTGAGTTTCCAGTATGCTTTTTCCTTCCGTCTAGTGGGCATCCCTTTGACAGTGTGATGGCGATGCTTGTGCTTTCTAAAGGTAGATAGGCAGATATCAAAGTGGAAGCTAAAAAGTAAATTTAAAATAATGGATTTCACATTTTATTTACCTATCGAAAGATTCAGGAGAAGAAAAGCTGAAAAGCACTTTTTATCAATTCCTAATTACGTTTCTGCTTCAAATCCTACCAGTTCTTAAGGCAATTACATATAGATAGCTCTGCTATCACTTTCACTGCCAGTGCTGGAGGACAGAATGAATCATTTTCAAGCACAGATAAAGCCCTGAGTTACATGCTGAGATTGAGCACTGGATTCCATGCTCACCTCAAAAGGCACAGGAGCAAATAGCACAACATGAGGGTTAACATCCTGTGTGATGCTTTGGGGAGGCTACGAGTCCGTCACACTCTTCCAAGGAAGAAAACAACAGTCTTCATGGCCGAGGTTAGAGACACCATGTGCTGTTCGAAAGGGACAGTATATTAGGAGGTAATTTCATTTTGGTTTCACACCATGCCCACAAAACAGGGACTTCTTTTCTTTGGGAGAAACAGATGTGCAAAAAGCTTTGTAGAGAGCTGCTTTGTCACAGAAGGGTAAAAGTTGAGTTGCAGTTTTGCAATCTGAATCTTTGCTTTTCAGCAGTCTACGAAATTCAGTCTAGGCTAACGTTGCGTCCTCTCTTCTGCATTAGACAACTGATTTGATTCTATCCTATTAAAAACGTAGATACTTGTAGTGCTTTACTGAGTCTAGGACATCAAACTTGTGCAACAGAGTGAAAACTTAAAATTTTAATTAGCTCTTTATCAGATAAATTCTGCAACAAATGATAAACCAAGATTTCTAACAATATAAATCTATTTTGAACATGTTTGAATCCACTATTTGTTTTTTATCAGTGTCTATTTTGTTCTCAACATTGCACAAGATTATTTATCTCAATTTCTATTTTTCTTTTGTCTCTCTTTTAAGTGTATTCTCCAGTTTGCCAAATCTGAAAATGCTGGATGGTATTCCAAAACTTCCAGAGGACTGTTCACCTCCAGACATCAATTTTTTTTTCAAAATGTGTACTATACTCTAGCACCGTATTTTTGTAGGATCACAGCTCTGCTAGAATCACCTCACTTAAAAGATACAATAAATCCTGTATATGGAAATTACCGTTTTTTCTTCTGATCAGAGAGATATCAAAGGAGAAATATATTTATTTTGAATGCTTTTGTGATACCACAGACTTCAAGTAAGTATGGATAAATGACATGTAAAAAAGACATAATGTGTATACTGAGTGTCATGAGTTTGTTGCATTAAAAATACTGGGTGATGTTTCTTGTCTAGGAACATTCTGTAGGCAGCAACTCACGATCATTGACTCCCACTACATTTACGTAAAACATGTCCAAGTTCAGACCACAAGTCCATTGTGGGAAATGGTGCAGGAAATAACATCCAGGCTGTGAAGGAGAGAAAAAAAACCTCTGGACTTAAAGAACATGCCATGCAGTTTCCTTCTTTACATACAACCAATGTCCTGGGATTCTCTAATGCACTTTGTAGATGGGAAAGACAGAGCCACCCGAATCATTGTGACCCTTCAAAATTAAAAAAATAATGAAAAAAGTCCCTACTTGTGAGTTTGGTATGGCTAAGAGCACTAGGGAGGTAAATCATGAAAGTGGAAAGAAGTCTTTTGACTTGTTGCTGGTGGTGTTTAGGAATGTCTTGTTGCTTAATAGAGGTTCCTCAAACTAAAGCCACACAGAAGGAAAAGAGCTGTGGAAGCTGAAAGGGGATTTGTAAGGGCTCCCTGGGATACCTGAATGCAATTGTCAATGAGAGGTATCTGTCCTTGTCTCTGATTCACTTGGTGTTCAATTTTAGCTTTTTTTCCCAGGCAGCTCATGCTGGCACACAAATAGCTGTGCCACTAATGGCTCAGGAAAAGAATGACAGAGTCCTGGAAAATGAAGACAATTAACAGAATTGCCTAATTCCAGAGACAGTCAATAAATTCTCTGCTGTGTATTGGCTGCAGGCTCGGTTTGGTTCAGTTACATGGGGAGGAGTAATGACTGCTCAGCCCTGTAGAGCTCTGCAGTGCAATGACTCACCCACGGAAAGGTCGCAGCAGCTCTGTGTAATGTCTGTATTGGACCAGGGCAAGAGAAACGACCAGCTTGAAAAGTTTCCAGGCTCTCCCTTAAGATTGTCCTTACCTCTCCTGCAGTCAAAACAGTCGATCAAAATATTGCATGAACTAGATCACAAGATGTTGAATGTATAACAGTATCTAGCTGAGAGATTATGTGGTTCACACAGAAACAACCAGGCAGCCAGAGCTTTGAAGCCGGAAAAGCAGAACATTGTGTGCTGTGCAGCATGGCAAACTGGTCCAGAAGAACAGGAATCTTTCATGTGGGGAGGATGAGAACAGAAAATCTGAAAGCTTTCTGAGGAGTGAGGCTAGAATTCTACCTCAGATCTAGATATTAATCCAGATATAGTATAATACAGTAATCAACGTAAAAAAAAACCACTGTTGTCTTTGTGAATGGTAAAAACAAAGGATGAAATCTGTTCTTTCAATGGAGGATATATATGAGAAAACACCATTTCCTCAAAAGCAAGGCAGGGAGCTGAAGCAGAGAGGAAACAGAGCCTGAAGGACCACCCTTACTGACCCAGCCAGAGGCAGACAGCAGCGAGCAGCTGAATGCTGACTGCGGTGAGGCTGTGCATCTGGAGACGGGAACAGGAAACAGTCTTTTCCCAAGGTAACAGGTACTAGGGAGCAGTCAAATCAGCAATGTTCAAATCACGATGAAAAGCACTTTAGGACTAGGCTCACTTCCCAGAATTTGGCATTAGAAAGTGAGACTGAGCTGGGAAATTGCTCCAGTCCCATAGGTAGACGTTTCAGTTAGAAGCTCCTAGTGAAGCTACCACCCACTTCTTGCACGTGTAATTAGGGGCTGGTCAATTCTTTCCTGGGAGCACGCTCAGAGGCTTTGCTCTTTAGACCTGAGTCCTGGGTCAGTTGCAAGAAAGAGGCACAGACAGTGATTTATTCTTTCTGAACAGGAAGCTGGTTCTGCTCTCATAATTTTTCCTTTCATTATTGTAACGGTCTGGCTTTGGAATCCCAGAGAAATATGAAGTCATATCTGGGGAGCCTTGCTGATTTTATTTAAAGTGCATCCAGGAGCTAGAATGTACTGGTAATGTTTAAGTCACTTTGCTGCAATGAGCTTTAAATGAGATGTTCGCTATCAGCAATGTCACATGGGAAACTGGGAAAAAAGAGCAATTAGGTTCCAGCTGGTTGACTGGACAACAGCCATAAGACCAAGGAAGCACCCTGGATACATTTCAACATTACCGGTCAACTGGAAACCCCAGCAGCAGGAACCTTTTGAAACTGGCCTCAAGTTCATGCCAAACTGGGAATAAATTAATACACATTTTGGGTTCTAAATTAGATTATTACCATCTAACTTTCTTTTCCTGCCAAACTTACACTCAGCTTCACTGAAGAAAAAATGAGCCTGCAGCAAGTTGCTCTTGAGTTTTACTCCCTTTCTTTTCCACAGTTACATTATGGAGTGGTCTAGTTTAAACCTAATCTATGACTTCGAGAATATCTGGAAGGAATGGAATAAAAGTAGTGTCTCCATTTTTCTAGAGCTTTTGAAATTTCATCTATTGTGATTGCACTCTGAAATCTAAAATAGTAGCTACCACCTGTGAGCTCAGTACCAAAGTATTATGAAATTGATTTCCAATTATTCACAAAGATTCCTTTGAACCTGACATTTCATGAAAATTGAGTGAAGTGTTCCCAAAATGTTGCTTAACATCATGGGACAGGTCCAGGGCTGAGGCTGACAGAGCTCAGAACTGAGTTCCCAAGTCTCATTTTAATTGTCTCTTCATGTCTCATTATGTCTAAACCTCTCAATGCAGAATAAAAAGTGAGCAATATCACATCAAAAGACGTTCCTTAAATGAACAGAGAGAAAACAAGACTTTGCATTGAACCCATTTATTATGATACCAGGAATTCCAGAGCAGGGTTTAAAAAATCTGGAAGTATTACAGTACGTGGGTCATGGAAGCAAAGTTGCAACAGAAAAGAAATCGACTGCTGATGATCATTTCAAAGAAGTCCATTTGTTCATATACACAGTAACTTCGTAGAAGATGAAGCAAAACCACCCTATGTTCATATTGATCCAAATCATGTAAATCAGGAATTAAAGACTTTGAGCCAATATCCTTCTCCCAGACTGTGCATTGCAGCACCAGTATTAGATGTGAATACAGTGGCTTTCCTTGCAAAAATGTCATCTTCTAGTTCCTCACACTGAACTTCAGAGGATGAGAGGGTGCATTGGGGGCAAATCCAAGCTCATCAGTTAAGCTTATTATCATTCATCATCACAAATGCTAATGCAAATGACTCAAGCCAAGATGTGCACACATCTGTGGAGCAAATAACTTGTCAGTGATTCCCTAGAGTTTAGCCTGGTAGTGCTGGAGCATGGAACAGTTATAAGGACATCACAAGGGACATCCTGAGGTCCTTGTCAGCTCTCAGGTCACTGTATCTGTAAGAACTTTGCCTGGCACACACTTTGAAACACGCTGCGGGAAAGGATCTGGGCGACGTGACAGGTCATGGTGCTTGTTTCATCATCACAAACCGTGGAAGAGCTGCACGGCAGGCTCTGCTTTGGCTGCACCTGAAGGCACTTTAGCTCTTCCTCCATGGACCAACTTGCATGTTCCTGAGGCCACAAAAGGGATTAGCTTTCTTTTCTTGGTCCGCCCTGGCTTCTGTTCATGGTGTCCATGTATTAGTGATGTCAGGACGGCAGTACTTCCAGTGCTTGCTTATTCCCTCACCGAACACGAGTGACTACCAAAGTCCTTCCCGTGTTTAGTTCAACTGCAAAACTTCCAGTGACTTCGAAGCTGCAGAAGCACAGCTTCATTCTTCTGTGTGGAAGGAAGGAAAGGAACCACTTACAAATCAGGGATCAAATTACCAAAAAGGGCACTATGAGGCTTTTAACCTTTGAGAAGCAGAGCGCTCTCCCCTTTCCCTGGAGAACCTCTTTCTGAAGATCAGAGTGTAGTTGTTTGTTTTACCATTTCCTTCCTGACCGATTAAAATCAAATACCTTCTGGTCTGTGTAAGGCAGCTTTCGATCACTGCCGTTTAAGTTTTGCTGTTCATTAAAGAACCTTCAGCATTTTTGATGATTTCCTTGCCATCAGCACTGAAAGAAAAAATGAATTTAGTGAATATACTGACTGATGTTTTGATCTATTTGGATACATGTATGAGACATGCAGAGGCACATTGGCAGGAAGCAGGGGGGGAAATAAGTTATTAAGATGCCCCAGAGCATTCATTTTTCATTTGTAATCTATCATCCAGGACACATTGGCTTTGGAATTGCCAGGTACCATGCTACATTATGTAATTGAAAGCTCTAAAGATAAGGAAAGAAGGCCATTGACAACATATGCTTTGGATAAAAGCAGCTATAAAAATAAACGTAATGACCCTAACGGGTGCGAGACAAGCATGGAGAGTAACAAATTGGGAATGACCAGAAAGTTCATGAATAGTCAAGCTACAGGAAACAGTGCAGTCAGCCTTGGGGAGTGAAACCTAAGCCATTTTTTTTCTTTTTCATACTGATCATTTTATTTTTACTATGTGTTAACATAATATATTTGCCATTCCTACTCTACAGTCTATTTTCGTTCTAATATATTGCTATACTTACTCTTTACGACCTGAGCACTGAGCCAGTTTAAGGATGCTCCTATTAAGAGGCATGGATGATGAAGTCAGATGTTTCTCTGATGCAATTTTAATTTTCTGTGCAAAATGTGCAAAGCTCCATTTTTCTGAACTCAAGCAAAATCAAACAGGAGACTGCATCTGTCCTTGGGGCTCCAAGCCCTTTTCCAGTCAGTACTTAGCTCTCACCTTTTCTCTGCATTACACATCTTTGAGCTTTACCCTCCTAGGTTTTATCTTGCTTCTTTTTCTGTGTTAGCTCATTCACACTCTTGTGGCTGCAAAGACCAAGACTAGCTCTTGTTGAGCTAATGCTTCCACGAGCCTGAAACTT